CTTGCATATATATATATATATATATATATATATATATATATATATATATATATATATATATATATATATATATATATATATATATATATATATATATATATATATATATATATATATATATATATATATATATATATATATATATATCCAATGCTGCTATAATATTGTACCAGATAAGGCGGATTATATTTGTACAGACACGATCGTGTCATTATACTTCAATAAACTTAGCATTATCGGCTAGTCCATTAATTAACAAGATGAGGTTAGACCTCCTAGCAGATGCTGAAATTGAATTGACACTAACTCCACCTGCTATGTTAAAATATAATAATCTTCAGAATTATTCAGTCAATGCTATTTAATGTGTAAACTACGAGGGCTGTCACCGATATTGAACATTTCCTATTTATTTTAAATATACTCACGTATTTCTACTTCAGCAAGAACTGTTTCAGCACTTTTCACGTTAAATCAACGGCACCGTGAGCGACCGTAACCCTACTGGGGCTACTGTAATACTGCCACCGTGGCGGTAAGTGGCGCTGTCACTGACTGACTCATTGAGCTTCATTTTATCATTTCCCGTGGGCCGGCGGGATATATATATATATATATATATATAAGAGAGGATCGAAATAAGAGTGTAGGATTTTAGCAGTACCTGTGGTGTAATGGTCAGCATCTTCGTCTCGCAAGCGAGCGGACCCGGGTACGATTCTCGGGCAGGGTGAAACTATGGGTAAGTTTCTTTACGCCATTTGCCTTTGTCTACCCAGCAGTAATTGGGAACCTGGATGTTAATCGATTTGCGGGTATTATTCCGGGGTAATGGTTAGCCAGTGCAGTTGGCGAGCTGTCCAGTCTTCTCGGCTATTCCGTGACACTGGGTCATGCAGCTCGTTAACTTAGGGTGTGGTTGTTGTGCTGCCGACAGCTTCTACACCTTAACAAATTCACGCCTAGGAGGCCCTTGGGCCGGCCATCCTCGATTTCGAGGGGCTTCCATTATATTTTTTTTTTATGGTAGACTCGGGAAAATATTGAAAGACCCAGAACAAATTGCAGTAGTATTTATTTTAACGTTATTCAACTTGAACACATGACTCAAATAAAATAATAAAAGTATTACTGAATAAAAAATGGGAACACTGTCTAAAATGCATAAATTAAAAATGGCCATCAAATAACCGGGTTATACCTGGTGGAGGCTGATTTTATCAACATATTTGTTTTGTGCTGAAAGGTTGACACGTTTTTATTTTCAGATATATTATAAGAATGATATATCATAGGACTCACCATTTCTCGTAGGCATATCATTGACGGTTATTGACAACAGAACATCTCTTTTTACAGATTGAGTCATGATGGATGAAGAAGAGCTCACGTGTGTATTGTGCCAGAAAGCCATATCATCAGACCAGCTAAGATCTAAACTAACACAAAGGGTTGCGATGGCATTAACAAAGCAAGTGAGGCAGGGCATGATGACATTTGTGCTATTCCTGGACAATATGTTCACCAAGACTGTCGCAGAGTTTACATTAACCCTCATTGTATAGAAAAATCCAATCGCAAGAGGGCTTATGATTCTTCAACTTCAACTAGTGAGAAACCAACCCTGAGATCATCATTGGGAACATTTGAATATGCTACACAGTGCCTCTTTTGTGGACACAGATCCTCGACAAGGCAAGAATCCAGAACTAAAACTTATTCCAATTAATAAGGTCTATCTGCAAGTTTACTCAGTCATAAAAAATATTTGTACCATAAATGTGGACAATACAAATCTTATATTTTAGTACATATTACTTGAAAAGTTGCAAGAAGAAAAAATATGCGTCTCTTCCATGCCATGACAAATTTAAACACATTCAAGCCTCTTCTTATCGTAGAAAAAAAGTTAACTAAAAAGAAAAACATTTTCTTACATTTGTTTACACCGAGAACACCGGCACAAGCAACAACATTGCCGAGATACTCAGCACAGTGGACAATAAACCAGCTTTGGTGGTCTTCCTCGGCTTGGAGAAGGCCTTCGAACTAGCAAATCCACTGGCCATTATAACGACGCTCGCCGAAAAAGGCGTCAAAGGAAGATTGCTGGGGTGGATCCAGAACTACCGTACACAGAGAGAAGCAAGAGTACGCTTTCAGGGGGCAACGTCAAGCTACAGGGTCCACGAAAACGGAACCCCACAAGGAGGCATCCTCAGTCCAACGTTGTTCAATGTCCTGATGGAAAATCTAGTCAGACTTTCTCAGACAAACACCCAAGCTCCTCTGCTATGCAGACGACTTACAGTAAGAGGAGCAAACAAACTAGTTAACACGCAACACGCACTCCAACTTATAGAAGAAGAGTGCAACAGACTTGGACTCAAGATAAATCCAGCCAAGTCGAAAGCGATGGCCATCTGCACAGACACACCAGACATGATGCCCTCCATACAAAACACGCCGGTAGTCTGGACCAACACCCACCAGTGTCTTGGAATCTGGTTCGACCAGAAACTCACTTTCAAGTTGCAACTCGAGTATCGCAGGCACAGGACGAAGAGCAAACACAACATAATGAGGTCGCTCACCAGCACAACCGCAGGAGCGAACATACACGTGCTCAAAGCCTACTACACAGCCGCCATCAGATCGCCGGTAGATTACAGTGCTGAGAGAAGACCAGATAGCTAAGCTAGAAGTTATCCAAAATAATGCTCTCAGGACCATGCTCGGAGCTCCCATGTGGACCAGAATTTGCAATTTGCAAATGGAAACTGAACTGCCACCCCTGGCAGTACGATTCAAGTAGGTGACAGCCGGTCTCCTCGCCAAAATCTGTAGATCAGATAAGCCCACAGCTGCCAAAACGCGAATCAGTGCCTCCCTCCACATCGACCACAGAGTGCGAGGGGCCACCTGGTTGCACGAGGCAAGCGAGGTCATCGGGCACCTGCAAGCAGAAACACTCGTCAAGAACAACCAGGACACACGAGACAAGGATTATGTAGTTCCACCACCATGGAGTCCTCCACCAGCCACACTCAAAATCACCGAACTAGGTGATAGCAAAGCCAACCTCCAGAAGGACCTCAATAGAATAACTAGAAGCTATAGCCACCGAGACACCGGCTGATGCAGCATCATACTTCACAGACGACTCGGTGGACCTAAAACATCATGGATCCGGAGTGGCCTTCTACACCCAAGGTCAGACCCTCCTATGGAAACTTTGTAATGACTGCTCCACCCTACAAACAGAATTGGTAGCAATCTCAAAGGCCCTACAACACGATGCAACACAACACAACAAATCCATCACAATTCACATGGAATCGAAAACGGCCATGCCGGCGCTGCAACACAGTCAGCCAAGAGACAACGTCCACAGTATATCCTCGATCCTCGCACAGCTACAGGACTTCCAAAGACAAAATCGCCCAGTCGTCTTACATTGGATTCCCAGTCATGTAGGGATTGGGGGAAACGACATGGCAGACAAAGCAGCTAAGGCAGCCACACGTTCTAGAAGTGTACACATTCAAGTTCCAGCAAGCGTGCAACAGATCAAGTACCACCTCAGAAAGACTAGTAGGTTGCCAACTCGGATTTTCAAATGTCGCTAGGCTGGTACCTAAAAGTAGCTAAATGTCGCTAAATCTTCCATGAAAAGTCGCTAGCTATTATTCCCCCCCTTCAGTAATTTGATGCAAATAATATTTTCATAATGCCGACTATAATGGACGGAGTATAAATAAAATGCATTATGTAAAAATAAAAATATTATTTTTTTTAAAGTTTAATGTGCACACTTACCTATTATTCAATAGTAATTGCATCCCAGTCCTCTTCGTAGTCGTCGGCAGTGTGAACAACTGTAGAGCTGGAAGCATGTGAAGTGCTTGGTTCAGGTTCTCGTGCAGATATCTTGTAATTGTATGCCTCCACAGTCCCTATCTTTCTTAAAATATCACTAGGAAGTTCATAACTTGCACAACAGGTGTTCTGTCTTCTTAACCCATACTTTATTGTAAGAATTGCCTTTAATGTCGAGTTTCATTTTGTTGCGCAACTTTGATTTCACAAAGTTCATATTACTAAATGTGCGCTCTACATCTGCGTTTGAATGAGGAAGAGATAAGGCAGCGAGTGCAATTTCAGCCAGATCATGGTAAGGGTTTTCACCTGTCGCATCTCTGTAATTTGCCACTTCTGACCACAATTTTAGGGTGTTAGATGCATGGACGGGCTGACATCAAGTGATCAGGAAATAGACGTGTCCCTCCTGTACCACGACCCGTTCAAGTGTATTAAACTTTTCTTATTATTTATTGTCCCTGTAACCCCGTTGCTATATATTATGGCTCGAAATTAGGAAAACTGAGTTTTCATGGACAGTCCAAAAGTATCCAGAAAGTCGCTAGATTTTGTGGATATCTCTAGATTTGCGACAAGTCGCAAATCGCTCTAAAATGTCGCTAGAAAAAAGCAAAAAGCTCTAGATCTAGCTACAAAGTCGCTAAGTTGGCCAGCTCCACATTCCAAAGAGCTTCCTTCACGCATTCAACGCTGGTTCCCAATCAGCCTTCATCTGGCAACACTGGTAGAAGTAAAGGTAGCCGTTCAAGCAATTTGTATTTGTTAGCTTCAGTTTGGTATTGTTTATAATTTTGATTAAACTCTTCGCTGTTCTTCTGTAGATCTCCAAAATTTCAAACTGTGGTTTAGTCATTTATAACCTTAGGATGATTTGAAGTATTTTTCGCGCACTTACGAACGTTATGTTTGTTTTGATAACACAGCTGATTTTGTCCACTTGTCCGATTTTCCTAGTAACGTATCGTTTTTAACTATAATAGGAGGGAAATTATGTTTATAATGATAATATATGGTTGAAAATATACTAAAAACATAAATTGTATGTTTTAATGAAGTTAAAAAATTGTATCTTCAAGTAAAAATAATAAATAATTATGGACGAAGTATAACTTGACATAATCGAAGACAGGTTTTCATTCATACCCTTCACCAACGCGAGTTACGACGCAGTCCTGGAAACAAAGGTGAAATTTTATACAAAGAGGAGTCTTTATGTGCGTGATCCCATGCAGCTGAAAAATAGTATGGCAATGAGAGAAAAGGTCCATAGCCTACGTTTCAACCAAGACCATGGTATGTATTGAAATGTTTATCTTAGATTGGTTAGAAATAATTGTGTACTAATATGCTTAACACATTTGGTAAAGGTATAGAAGAGGGTAGCCACCAGAACGAAAAGTCCCAATTGGTTGAAAATTTTTCTACACACTAATATCATGATATTAAATACATAAATGGGTAAATTTTTACTTTAGGACATGAGTCCCTAGGGGTTGACCAATATGTTTTTCCAATGTAGTTTGGTGTGTTTTAAACGAATCTGACCTTCATTTTTGGCGGAAATTGCTCGTTCTCCCCCCCCCCCCCTGGGAAATCGGGGTTTTTGTGTGGGGGAGAAAACGAAAACGAGTCATTTGACCTGACAAAACCTAACCTAACTCCTAGCCGGACCCCCGGTAGGCCTAGCTTAAACTAACCTAAATGTTTTAGTAGTTAAAAAACTTTGGGATTCAAGTTGGATAAGTTTAGGTTTAGGAAGGAGAGAGGAAGGAACTTTTTTACAAATAGGGTGGTGGACGAGTGGAACAAGCTTAGCAACCTTGTAGTAAGTGCTGGAACGCTGGAAAGTTTCAAAGGGAGGCTAGATAGATTCATGGATGATAGAGAGTGGTAGTAACTCTCGACAGGAGATGCCATTCACAGGCCAACCGGCCTATTGCAGACTCTTTATGTTCTTATGTTCTTATGTCCGAAAGTAAAATACCTTAGTTAAAAGTGGAAGTGACCGGTGATACTTGAGAATTTAATGGAATGATCGTCTTTCTTGTAAAACTCGGCAATAAACTTAAAATAATCGTAGGAGAACAACTGACAACTAACCTCCACCACGGTCATTGTGAGACTGGTCACAGAAATTACCCAGACTGCTTCCTTTGGAAAAAAAAAATTATTATATAGGACTACTGTAACACGCCAGGGCTGCATAGCACTGATGCGGCCGTATCATCTCATGTCCAGAAAATACCTCAAATTTCATCATATCATAGTATGTTCTTTCTGTTTAATATACCGGGGAAGTTAGGGGAGGTTTGTTTGGTTTGGTTGTTTAGGTCTTTTCTTCTTAGCCACAAATGTTAAGTATCATTTATTTAAAAAATATAAATTTTTAAACATATTTCCACAAACTACAACAGTGTCCATTATAATATAACAATGAAAATCCGACGTTTTTATAATTGTTTTCAATCAATTTCACTCGCGGGTTAGCTCTACATAATTACCAAAAAAATCAAATGTGATTGGTCGAAAAAAATTTGCATGATGATATCGACACCACATTGGTCACGACTGGATGATGTCAGTCAACATTGTGCATGCGTGATGCGCAGATAACATCACCTCACAGACGAAGACTGAAAACTACTTAAAATCAATTAAATTAAATTGTGTTGCTATCATCCATATCTGCCAAAATGCTCAGAATAGTGAGATCTAAATGTTTCAGTAGTTTATAACTTTCGGGAGCGCTATGACCGAAAGTAAAATAATACCCAAAAATGGAAATGACAATGCATAGAACCTAATTGAACCTGACCTAACATACCCAACCTATATGTTTGTTAAGTCAGGTTCTATGCCTTATCGTGCTAATTTATGTGTTAAACAACTTACCTTAATATTGAGGTTGATATACAGCAGCAATGGCGAGAGGAATACGTGAAAGCGTTCACCATCATTTAGGAAACGTCTCTTGAAAAGGGATTCAGTGATAACCAATGAAAATGGAGCTGGGAGGAGAATTGTGAAGCAGGATAGAGTTAATAAAAAGATTATCAGGTTATATTAGGTTCTATGCATTCTCGTTTCCATTTCTGTGTTTAATATCATGTTATTAGCATTATATAAAAAAATAAATACAAAATAATGCATAGAACCTAATAAACCCATAGGTTGGGTATGTTAGGTCAGGTTCAATTAGGTTCTATGCATTGTCGTTTTTTTTGTGTTTAATATCATGATATTAGTGTGTAGAAAATTTTTCAACGAATTTGGACAATTCCTTCTTGTGGTCACCCTCTTCTACACCTTTACCTTACATTTCAATATTACTGTAATTATTGATGACTAACACGCAGCCGAAATTCATAGATAACGATTTTAAAAACTCCGCAATTTCACTGGGTTTTTTTAATAGTGGACACAGTTGTAGTTTGTGCAAATGTGCCACATTTATGATAAATATAGTGAAGAGCACCAAAACTTTGGATCTACATTCAAGAAAAAAGTCTCATATATAGAGTACTGTACAGTTACTTGCAGTTTTACATTTCTGTTACCAGTTAAATACTTTTTACATTTACTCTTGGACAGGACGTGGGGTAAATACACATGTCTCGTACACAACAGACTCGGGGCAAACGAGCAGTTCCCCCTGCCCCCACTCCTCTTAAACTATAAAGTTGTATCAAGTAATTACATATTTTCATTAATTTTACCCTTACAAAGACTCCCAAATGATTCACAGTTTTCTAATAGCCCTTGTGGGCTCCATAATATGGTTTCGTGGGCACCATGGTACCCACGAACTACAGGTTGGGGACCACTGCTCTAGTGTGTAATTGTCTGATAGTGAGTAAACATGTTAAGGCTCTATTTATTATGATGCAAGCATTTCTCTTGAAGCATTTTCACGAGCAGCTCTACCTTAATTTTTTCAGAATGATTTGCTACCTCTTAAGAATGGGTTGTATGTTCTTCACTGTGGCATCAACACAGTAATTACAGTTAGGTTTTCTTTAAAATGGTTTGGCAATTTTGTAATTGCCATTATTTCTAGTTTAAATTGTGGAAATAATTATACAAATTTCATGTTTCAGGTTGTTTCATATGTTGTATGGACTCGGGTGTTCGAATATATAATGTGGAACCTCTCGCAGAGAAGACACATTTACGTAAGTTTCAGTAATTATTTTACACAATATTCATGAAGTCAGTTTTTTATTAGTTTATAATATGCTTGCTGTCACTGTTGTTCTGTTCCTTCATCCTCTTTAAATTTGGTAAAGAAATAATGCTGTGAAATGACACTCTAATTTAAATTTTAACTAACTGGAATTACTGATAATTTGTACAATTTTGATTGTTCAAATAATTTGGTTAGGTCAAGAGCAGTCAATCAAGATACTGCATTCTAAAAATGTTCAAAAGATACTACAGTACAGCATGCCCTTCAAATTCGCGGGGGTTCGGTTTTCAAAATGGCTGCGAATTGCCAAATCTGCGAATAACATTTGCTGACGTGGGGGGGGGGGAGTACATTTTGACTTGTGTACAAAGAAATGTATATTCCCTTTATTTGTTTGCTCTTAGGACAAATATTTATTTTACCTGTATTGTATATACAGTACGTACAGGTAAAGGAAATTACTGGCTCTAAAACAAATGGCTCTCTGTCCCAGCCGCAAAAATGACGGCAACTTTAAAACTACCTGCAGACATTCTTGGGTTCATCCAGGGTGTCATCCGCGAATAAGAGAGGACCGCGAATTATCCAGGCGTACTGTACAGTATGTATAACCAGCCAATTCAAAGCTTTTTGTATTGTTTTCATGTCAGTATTCCCTTTGTTTTATCTAGTAAAATTCTGTTTGTAGACGCTCATATTTACATTTTTCATTAATACTGTACAGTACTTTTACTATATATGGAAAGTCATCCTCAATTACAGGTACTTCATTATTAAAGAGTTACAGTACTGTACTCAATTATTGAGTGGCTGTATGCTGCTGTGAAACATTTGAAAGTGGCTAACTTTGACTTTGCTATTTTTATTTACAGTACTGTATATCCTCTTTCAGAGGTTGATTTATAATTCTAAATTTTGCAAGTTTTATTGCCCCTTTCCACCCAAATAATTCGTAGTAATGAAGTCTCATTATATATTTTTGCTACTGAGAATTTTGTGAAGTGAAATATTCTGCTTGGGTGTGCATCATTGCCCTCTACACTCAGTCTCAAGTTATGCTTTTGTCACCTTACTTTGCAGTTTAGTCAGTGCTTCCTGTCTGTCACAGTTTTAATGGTGTATTTTTTTATACCAGTGCCTGTACTTTATTCTTAACCACTTGTGATTTTAATATACATAGCATACTGTATTCTGTAATTACTCCTATAAGTATAAGATGGCCGGCAAGTTATTGTGTGTCATACCATTAATGATCTTCCAACCCCTAATGGGTGATTGTATCTTTTATTTTTATACCAGGAGAGAGCTTAGTTGGCAGTGTTGGTCATGGGGAGATGTTGCATAGAACTAACTTATTGGCAATGGTAGGAGGAGGAGCCGTTCCAAAATATGCAGACAATACTGCTCTTATTTATGACGATCGTACATCAAAATTGGTGCTTGAGTTTACTTTCTCTGCACCAGTACTGGCTGTCAGGTTAAGAAAAGATAGGTAAGAAAAAAAGTTGGTGTACCTTTACTTGTAATATTACTAATGGTACATTAGTTATTGCAATGAATTGTACGAGTTATTCAAATATGTTTCATTTATATATTTCCAAGTTGGATACATACAGCTTATATATTGAGAGAGAGAAAGAGTGGGGGTATTAATTGTAATTTTTCTTTTTAATTCACATGTTCAGATTAGTGGTAGTTTGTCGACGGCAGATACATGTCTTCTCCTTCCCTCACGCTCCTCAGCGTCTTTTCACTTGTGAGACTCGGGACAATCCTCTGGGGCTGTGTGAGGTGTCCCCCCTCCCCTCAGCCGACAGACACATATTGTGTTTTCCTGCCCACAAACTTGGTGCTGTTCAGTTAGTGGTGAGTATAGTACAAATATTATGAAGAGATTATTACATAGATATACACTTCCTGTCAGAGTTGGAAACACAGGTACTGTATTCACAGTTCTTGAGCCATAATTTTGTATGTGCTTATGTTTAATGCTACCTGTATTTAGAAAGTTTTGAATTTTAGTAACTCGATAAGTTTCAAAATCATTAGCCATCCATTTATGATTAATATTGGAAAACCTTAAATTTACCATTTAGTTTGTTGATTCCCATCCTCTAAGATTTGGAACTTTTTTGTGATAGGAAACTAACTACTGTACTGTAATTCATAAATTAGTCCCAGTTTATAATGTCTCAGATTTTCACTCAGGACTCCTGATTCTAATTCATGATCAATACCTCACTTCTTTGTGATTATTTACATATTTTTTTAGCAGTGACAGTCATAAGATACAGGGAAATAGAATGTGCTTATACTGTACACACACAATATTTTTTTTAGAATATTCACTGTGAACATTTGAGCAAATTAGCATTTCAGTATAATTTACACACAGGCAAAGAAATTTTGGTTGTCACCTGATGTTGGTACAGAAAAATGCTGAATTGTGGCACATGGCATAGGAAGTATGAACTCAATAAAGCCATGATATTATTGGCACTGTATCTACATATCTGTTTATTGCTATTCAGGATCTTCTGACAACAGAATCAACTGTCTCTCAAGCCCCACTTACTGTCCAAGCACATAAGAGTGAGCTCGCTTGCCTCAGTGTGAACCGTGAGGGCACGTTGTTAGCTACAGCATCACTCAAAGGCACATTGATTAGGGTATGGGACACTGCTCGGAGAGTGTTACTGGCTGAGCTGAGGAGAGGCTCTGACCCGGCCACACTCTACTGGTGAGTACAGAGGAAATTTGTATTGTTCTCTTATGGTGTTTCATCCCTTTCTTATTAAAGTGCTTATTAAAGTGTTCCTGCAAACTATTTTCATTTCATCTGGATATTTCAAGATCCATGTAATATGTATTTTGTATGTGAATCATTTCTCTTTTCCTGACTTGCTTCTTCCTATTATAAATTTATTATGCATTATGGAAAATATATCCTAAGATAGTGGTGCAGTAGTATTTCTGACTTCCGGTATGGTATACAGGTACCTCTATGTGCACAATTTGTACAGTAGTTCATAATAGAGGTAACTTGTACATTTTATTAATCTCATTTTGTTAAAAAAAATTATATTAAAGAAATTATACAGACCTGTTTTTTGTCTATTTTATTGATATTATTGAGGGTTGCCGATTTTTATAATACAGGTTGACTACCCTTTATCCGAAATTCCGAAAACCGAAAAGCTCTAAAAAGCGAAAGTTTTTTGGTGGGGGGGCTTTTTTTTTTTTTTTATGGAATTATTAGCCCACCCAGGCACAGTTCAATGACCCACATAGGGGCCTGGGGGGCGAAAATGTAATAGTATTAATAATAATTATTCATAGTAAATAAAATTTTTAATAAAAATACACCAAAATAAAATAATAATGATTACAATAATAATAATAAAATAAAATAATAAAAATAATAATAATAATAATAATAATAATAATAAAATATAATAATAAAATATAATTATAATAATAATAAAATATAATTATAATAATAATAAAATATAATTATAATAATAATAATAATAATAATACAGTAATAATAATATTAATAATAAAATATAATAATAAAATTAATAATAATAATAAAATATAATAATAAAATTAATAATAATAATAAAATATAATAATAAAATTAATAATAATAATAATAATAATAATAATAAAATATAATAATAAAATTAATAATAATAATAATAATGTAATAATAAAATAATAATAATACAGTAAAGAAATACAAGAAAGAAAAAAGATCAAAAGTGAGAAACACGACCTAGACCTATGAATTATTATTATTATTATTTTAATTTTTATTATATTTTCGACCCCCAGGCCCTGATGTGGGTCAGTGATCTATGCCTGGGTGATCTAATACACATAAAAAAAAAAAACTTTACCATTCTGAAAACTGAAAAATTCCGAAAACCGAAATGCCTCTGGCCCCAAGGATTTCGGATAAAGGATTGTCAACCTGTATTACAAAATATTTGTTACACCATTTTCTTACATTTTTTGTCCAAAGGGAGTAACAAAATGTTAAATTAAAATGCCAAAATAAAAGAGACTGCTGTTGTTCATGGGTGTTGAGAACAGAAACTTAAGGTAGATGTGGTCCTGTAATTTTGCTATCCAGTACAGTACTGTATATCATTGTGGGGGCTGGCACAGATTTTTTTTCACTTACTGTACTTTACTTAAATTCCCTTAAATCAGCTCAGCAAATTAGACCTCAAGTACAGTTAGTTCTAAGTCAAACTGGGCATAAGTATTGATCCAGTCAGTGCCTCAGTTACTGTACTACACTGAAACTGTTTGTAGTCCCTCATTTACTCTCCTTATCAGTAAGAAGAGATTAATTATTTATTTTAATGTCTTACAGTATCAACTTCAGTGGTGATAGTGAATTCCTGTGCTGCTCAAGTGACAAAGGGACTATCCACATTTTCGCCCTTAAAGACACACGGCTAAATCGCCGTTCAACGTAGGTATTTTGTTTTATTGTACCGTACAGTAGTTTAGAAATTTTCTGTCTACATTATGTCTTGAAATACTTCATTTCTTGATACAGTACATTGTTCTTTTTAAATTCACTTCGTCAGGCATTTTCAGATTTTGCATATCAAAATAAAAATGTAGTCTTGCATTCTTCTCAAACTTTCTATTAAATTGTGTGGATTTTTTTTTAGGAAATTTTGATACCAAATGTTCTGCTTGTTCTTAAGTTGTGTGAATAATGTCATTGGAAGCTGAGATTATGTGATACATTGTAGTTGGAGATTGACATTCGTTGCCAAACTGTACAGTACTGTATTTAGAGATTGACATGGGGGTACAAAACTGTAGATCTACAGTATGTATACTACCTCTTCATATAAATCATAATCCTCAGGTTCTCAAGAATGGGATTCTTAGGAGGGTACATGGAGTCACAGTGGGCCTTAGCAAACTTCACTGTTCCTCCTGAGTGTGCCTGTGTATGTGCCTTTGGAGCCAACTCTACTGTGTATGGTGAGAACTTATACATGTACTGTAATTAAAACTTTAGTAAGATTATTTATCAGATACCTCACAGATACTTCGGTATACAGTATGTGGCAGATAAATTGTTCTAGATTGTTTCTTGCTCGCCCTATATTTTATAAAACCTGTAGATCCATTCTTGGGGTAAGCTAAATTGGCATATAATAAGAACAGAAGTATGTAGGGTTATTTTTTACAGTTTTGTGAAAATTGGATAATAATGAAAATAAAAACACAAAACTTTGTAGTGATCACCTGGTAAGAAAATTGTTTAGATGAACTAATTTTGTAAATAAATTTTTAACGTTATAAACACAGTAATATAAAAAAAAAAGATATATACTGTATATGACAGATTTAATTTTTATTGCAGTTCTTTTCTCAGAAAATCATTTGTATGAATTGATTTCATTTATTTTTTACGGGGAATAGCCCACCCGGGCACAGGTCACTGACCCACAACGGGGCGAAAAAATAATGGTAAAAAGAAATTAAAAATAGAAAAGAAAAAGATTATATTAATCTACACCACGAAGATGTTGGAAAACCAGCTTTTTAAAGTGAGACAGAATGTATAAGTATGGAAACACAGAAGAAGGCAGAGCATTCATCAGTTTGACTGTGTGAGGAAAGAAGGATGTACTATAACAGGTTATTCTAGTGTGACCGACATCCACAGAGAAACGGTGGGCATCGCGAGCAAGACGAGTGTTACGAGCCCCCGGCCCTGCCGGGTACACACAGGATGCCAAATCCACCGAACATTGACCATTAAAGTACTTATAAAAGAGAGAGAGTGAAGCAACATTGCAGCAAAGAACGATTATAAACTAAAGGAGGAGAGTTAATAAGACGAAATGCCCTTGATTCCACCCTATCTAACAGTTGGACAGAAGAAGAGCCACCCCAGATACAAGGGCAGTACTCCTAGTTAGGTCAGACACCAGATAAAAAACTTCATTACAAGATTTTTTTTCACCTCTGTTGTAAGTTATGGGTATTCTGATCTCCAGCTCTTAGTAGAGTTTTTATTCTATTTTATTTATTTTTTAACTCAAGATGGTTTCTGCCCAATATCTGAGTACAGGGGGTCCCCAGGTTATGAACGAGTTCCGTTCCTTTTATGCATCTCGAATCACTTAATTTAAGAGAAAAGAAGAAATTGAATGATAAAATACAATAGAAGAAAGTAAAAGTTTAACACTTACATTGAAACCTTGGAGCTGTCAGATCTTCTACCCATATCACTAACAATCTTTTCCATTTCAATTAACATTCCACTTCTTTGTTTTGTTACCACAGTTGAGTGCATTGGTGTAGATCCTTTTACATGTTCAAGAATTTTGTGTTTGTCTTTCAAAATTATTCCGATCGTTGACCGACTGAAGCCCAACGCTTTACCAATTACTGCTGGTGTTTCACCTTTTTCAGAACGTTTAATTTCACCAACTTTCACTTCCATTGCAATTGTTTTCCTTTTCTTGGATGTACTACTATCACTTACATCAGGTTTGCATTTGGGAGCCATGATGAAGGCAGAAAAATAGAGTTAATGAGAAACAATAATAGTTTGCACTTGACCACACATTACTGAGGTGAGGCATACTGACGCTCCCTCAAGGTGCGTGGCTGGGTGATGCATTACTCCCCACCCCCTGCTCTGCCTTGCCACTATGCCATGCAAACTAGTTCTTGTATGTTAATACTACGAACCAGTTGTACCTATGTCGGATTCTTAAAATAATTGATCTTATGGGATCGTGTTCGTAACTCGGGAACCCCCTGTACAGGTGAGCCTCTATTTGCAATGGAGTTAGGGTCCTGAACACCCCTATTGCAGATCTAAATATTGTAAATCAGGTTCATTATAATATGGGGTTCAATATGATAGGTTCCTGGCCAGTCGGACACCCATATGTATCACTGAAAAAAAAAATCTAGAATACTACTAGCACTACAACACAATTAAACAACACTCACCACATCATTATGAACAAGTCTGGTCATCATCACATGTCTACTTCAAGGCAAAGGGGACTCTTGAAGGTGGAGTGGAGACATCAATCCGAGTCTGAAGAGGCTAGAGACACAGTGTGGACTGGAGGTGTAGCCTTTGTCCAGGCCTTAAAGATGGTGAAGTGCAAAAACACTTAAAGTCACTAGAGCAGGGATAGCATTTCACAGTCTGTGCAAAAATACTTCAGTCACTAAAACAGGGATAACACTTCACAGTCACTAAAGCAGGGATAGCACTTCACAGTCTGTGCAAAAACACTTCACAGTCACTAAAGCAAAAAAGCACTTCACTGTCAGAGCAAAAGCACTTAACAGAAAAAACACTTCACAGCCAATAAAACTGAGTACTGTATGTGTACTGTACACTGTAAAACTTTGTAATTTCCTGCAACTGTAAGGGAAAAAATTATATAAAATTTATGATACTGGTTGCCGCTGCTCACCTCGTGTTCACAACAACAGAGGCAAAGCATTTTTCAGTCACAAAAAACATAGCAAAAAAACACTTAACGGTCACCAAAACAGAGTTCTATATGAACGTTAGTGATGTCCTCTCAACCTAAGGTAAGAAAGAAAAAAAACCCTTGATGCTAAATAACAACACCGATGATAAAAGAAAACATTGAGCTCCATATCCAACATACGTGTACCGGTAAACAGGAAGAAACAATGACTGGACTGAAGTTCACCAGTGTGCCATGAGGAAGCATTCGGGTAGATAACACCTCAGCTGACAAATGATGTGAGTGATGTGTTCAATATTCTAAGTTGGCAGGATGATGAATATCATAAATGTGAGTTTGTTTACATTGCAAATCGGGGAGGGGTCTTAATATATCAGCATCGTTAACGGTTTTAGTATACAGTGGTCCCTCGGTTAACGAGCACAATTCGTTTCAGAAGGTCGCTCGTTAACCGAAAAATTCGTTAACCGAAACCATTGTTTCAATGGGTTTTTGGGTAATTGGTTCCAGGTCACCGAAAATTACATACAAACTAAAAATAAATGCAGTAAAGTACACTTACTTTGAGGTGTGCATGTAGAAGGCTTCTGGTTGATGATGATGATGATGGGAATTAGAATGGGGGTGGAGGAGAAGGGAGAAGAGAAGGAAGTGGGGGTGGAAGAGAAGTCACCCCATGCTGCCATTTCACCCATAAAATTTTAGTTCACTTGGTATAATTCAAGATTATTTTCTTTAAATCAACACTGCACTGCGCTATATATTGTCAATATGTAAAATATATTTCAAAATGGTCAATAATTTGACTGGAAACACAGAAAAAAAGCATTAATGTTGAAGAGTCTCAAACAAAATGTTCCTTCCTCTGAACTGGTAAACAAACTGACGCCAAGCTTGGTGTGTTGAATGGCTGTTTGGCTCGCTAAAAACTAGTTTTCTGTACTTCAATTATGTTCAATAATTGTTAAAATGACTAAAAAATTTAATATAAAACTTTTAAAATTATTGAATAGTACAACCTTCTTGATGTTTACTAAAATGGTAAGGAATTTAAGCCCTAAAACCGATGACTGTATTGGCGGACTAATACTACAGCTGGTGGGCAGCCAAATGCAGGCGAAAACATGTTGGGAAAAATTCGTAAGGAATTCGTTAACCAAGGGTTTGCTCGTTAACCGAAGTGAAGAATCTTATGGAAGGTAATTCGTTAATCGAAATTTCGTTAACCGAGGGATCACTGTATCAGCATCGTTAACATGAATTATCGTAGAGGTTTACCTGTACTGTAGTACGGATACAGTGATACCTCTGTTAGGTGGAACAATTGGTGCAGAAATCTTTTAGGGATGAGAGATTTCTAAGTAATGAGACAACTTTCTGAAAACCAGAAAAAATCTCACATTCCCGGAATTTTTTTGGGTACTTACTAGGAAAAGTTCCCGAGACTCTAAATTACACTATCACATCATCCCCAGAATGATTCTGGGTGCTGGGGAAGGTTTTCTTAGTCTAAACATGGACAAAAGCCCTCGCATTACATTTAGACTGCGGGCACGAGCAAAAATATTTATGGCTAGCAATAAAGTGTACTGTATACAGTAATATCTCCATTAGCCGGAATCCCTCAAACCCGGAAATCTCCGATAGCAGGAATTGAAATTTGTTCAGAAAATCATTAGACAATACAATATGCTTCCAATATTTTCCCAGGCGGTAGTACCTCCGTGTTTGGTAGCTGCCTATTACCTACTTGTCGTGCACTCATTTTATGTGCAAGCATTGAGAAAATATTTATAATAAGTGTTGTAGTTTATGGAATACATGTGGATGTATTTTTTTTTTTCAGCAATCTGTGTGGATGGGACCTTCCATAAATATGTGTTTAAAGCAGACGGCTGCTGCAACCGAGAGTCATTTGATGTTTACCTGGATCTAGTTGCTGATGAGGAGTTCTGAGTAAAGTAGGTGGTAGCATGAATTCAGAATAAAAGAACTTGTGCAGCTGTTTGGAGCTGCTAAAAATGGTTGTACAGAACTAAACAACAGCATTATACTGTTCATCAAATGAGTTCATGTCATACAAATTGCCTAAAATATTATTTTAGTCCAGTATATTGAAGTTTCCTCGGAATTTTGAGTTGCTTGAAATGTAATATTTTTTTTTATTCTGAGTATTTTGAGAGTACAGTATATCTGATTTCTTAAGTTTAATATAAAATAAATTATAAATTTCCATTAAATAGTTGTGTGTTTTGCAAAATAATATTGTATGTAATTGTGTGGAACCAAAATATAATATTTTTTACAGTACAGTAGAACGTCGATATAACACGAGATACGTTCCAAGAGAGGTCGCTTTAAACCGAATTCGCACTAAATCGAAGTGTTGTTTCAATGGAATAATTTAGTTTGGTACTTGAGAGAAACACAAACTACTAAAAAGACTGAGAGTCTACCCAGATGCACCTCATCCCATCTCCTAGAAAAAACAAAACATTGTTTTTTGTAGTATTATGTTAAGACAAACACTAATAAATCAACACAGCTAAAATTATTGGACGTGAAATGGTCTGTTTACTAGGGATCAGCCGACGGGAAGATGGAGGGGTGGGGGAGAGGTGAGGTGATATGTTTGACAGTTGATGCCAAGGTCTAGTGCTTATTTATTTATCTGTCCTTAAGAGTGACTAAGTTTTTCTCTTATAAAATGTCACTGAACTGACATGTTCTAATTAATTTTATTACAAAGGGCTAAAATTTTTATCTCTTGAGCAAAATATATGACGTTTCTATTAAAATTATTCGCTGTCTTGCAAGGATTCTAGCAATGCAAATTATATTCTCCTAACTTAAGTATGTGATATTATATAAGATAAAAACTTTAAGCCTATAACCACCAAACCCTGGCTGGGGGGTAGGGGAGGTGACAGTGACATGTTTGACAGTTGGCGCCTAAGGTCTAGTGAAGTATTTATTTCTTTATTTATGTTCTTTAGATTGAGTTTTTGTTTTTTGTTTCTAAAATGTCACAGAGTGACCTGGGAGAATATAATTTACATTGCTGGAATTCTTATAAGATAGTGATTAATTTGAATATAATCATGGTATAGTTTGCACAAGACAAAAATTTTAGTAATCATTTAGTACATTATTTTCAGTATATGTACAGTACAGTCTAGTGTGCCCAGAGAAACATTAGGCGCGAATTTTAAAATATGATGCACCAGATTGACTCGCTCAAAATAGGAGATTCGCTTTATATTAAAACATTGTCCTTAATTGTGGGTGTCGCTTTAAATTGACGTTCTGCTGTAGTGTACTATGTAGTTCCAATATCTTAATGCAAAAATAAAGCATATAAATATAAATACTGAATTGGGAGAGATGATATAGGAGCACGAGGTGGATATACCTGTATCATCCCATCTGGGTGGCAGCTTGAGCACTACTGTGTAGTCTTTATCATTTCTATCTATATCATGCACTCCTGTTATTTTCATTTCAGAGGGGCGTACGACCAGAGTGAACAAAGCGCCACTATGGTCAGTATCAAAATTTATTCACAAAAGGATGGGGAAACCACCTATCCCGAGCGAGACTCGGTTACTCAGAATGGAAGTGGCAGTATTGTCGATTTTGTTAATTAAAACTACCCAAGTGTCACTACGTACAGGGCTGGTGGCAGCAGATCACAGGGAAGAAAGCGCCTGAAGTGTCTGATCACCTCATGTCTCTCGTACTGTGTAGGCCTTTACTTTGGTTTCATATTTTACATTATTGTCAGATGTCATTAAGCACTGTACTGTATTACTAAACACTTTTATTTACATGGCTCATTAACCCTTTCACGTACGAGATAAGTTTTCCAGTTCCAAGATCACATTTCTGAGGCCCCAAGGCAAGCGAGACAGTGCACGGTGAATATTTTTTTTGCTTTATCAATTCCCCCCCAAAAATAAAACTTGTTTTTATTGGCATAACCATATATCTTTGGCTTCATAACTGATTGTTCTGTAACATAAGCTTTCATCACTTATAATAAATATGAGAAAAAAATACACACCAATACGTTCACAACCTCCTGGCTCAAAATTGCCCCCCCGTTCTTAGCACAAGTGAATGAATTGAAAGAGGCTTTAGTGCTGAAAGAGCGAGATACAGGTTACAGGTTTCACAGTTAAGCTTCTTATTCATTTTGGATACAACAAACCCATAATAAGTTAGTTTTGTGCATTGGATTATAGGTAATGTATGCAGAGTGCTTATGTCATGAAAAGCAGTGTATGATCCTGTTATTTCATAAATTGTGTATAATTTAGTATTTAATATAAGGTGTCTCATTAAAAATATAATTGTATTACAAAACTGACTCCATTTTATTTGCCAGTAACAAAGGTGAAGAATTAAAGATAAGTTGCTTGTACTGGCTCTCGCACCCTACCCTCTACCAATATGGAGGCCACCAGCCTGCGTTGGCTTCACTCCCCGCTGGGTGATTGACACCTCCGCCAATATTAAACCTCCTCGAGTAGCAGTAAGATCAGGAGATCTAGAAATATATGGGTTTTGAAGACCTCTAGGAGGAGAAGAGAAGGAGAGGGATTCCAATGTATCATAGCTGATAAGTGGAGTGTGGGAGGTGGAAGGTGCTTGGTGACTGTGGGAGGCATGTAGTGGACCACCTGGGTAGTGAGGAAATGGGGTCGCGGGTGGTATGAGGCTTGCATAATGCAGGAGATATGAAGGAGATATTTGGGATGTGGAAGGTTGTGGTGAAGATGAGTGAGGGTGGTATGTTGTTGGTGCGGGTGTGGTGGTAGAGAGTCTCTGGTGGCAAGGCGCATGATAACGTGGATGCAACCAACACAATTTCTCCCTCAGTTTCATAACTTTCATTGTTGTTATCACAATCATTTTCACTCACTGTCCCTAAACAGGAGTTCTAGAAAATCATCCTCTTTCAGAGACTTTTTTCGAGACATTGTCACTATAATGAGGGTTTATAGCCTGATACGGTAACAGCTTTTGAAAACTAAACACTTTCCCTGTAAATATGAACAAAATATATTACATTACACAACCATCACTTCACTTCTCTAACACTAAAAAGAAATTATTTCAGGAAGGAGTCGAGGCAGCTCGCACTGAGTTATGGAAATTTCAATGAATGCAGCTCAAACTCACGGTTTGACTGCTGAGGATAACACTGCACATTTATCATTCTGTTTTTCCCTTCTTATGGGCCTCGAAAGTTGCCAATTAATTTATTTTATAGAACTTACTTGCTACTATGATGCATCAAAATTTGATGCAATTCTGTTGATTTTGGGCAAATTTTTTTAAGTTTATTGATTTGATTTGCGTCACCGTGAAGTTGGTCTTATGAATATGACGCAAATCGTGTCATCATGCGTGACAGGGTTAATGAACACATTAGTGTGGTGCCTTTTTCAACTATTCAGAGGAAAGAATACACAATGTGTCACTTCCTTCTGTGCTTCAGTTTCTAAATGATGGTTAACCAGGCCTATTGTTTACCGCTGGTTTTTTGTTTGTATTTTCGTGTTTGTTATTGTTGATCAATACCAATCATATCACAACAGAATAATATTAAGATTATTGTTTTTACTTGTGATTTATGGGGTTAAAGATAAACAATGCTTGTTTGCATCATTTAAAGACTACAACTGTCTTTTAAACTTACTATGCTCCACAAACCCCCAAAAAAGGTGAGAAAAATTACAAATAATGTGAAAAATAAAAACAAGAGAAAGGTGATTTCGGTTAATAAATTGTAAAAAAGACGATTTTTTCCTAAAAACCAGTTTTTGTGATAAAGGCCAGAATGCGATGTCTAGCTTTGTACCTGCATATGTATTTGCCCTGCACTAACTCGCCAGGCCTACATACAGGCAATTAAAATATCTACTAATTACTAAAATACCCGGTAGGTAATATTAGGACACGTCGTTACCTGGCATTTAATTGCAATTCTCAAAGCCCCCCTCCCGAACCACTGCTTTCATCTCTTGCCCCAGCGCGAGCAGTAAACAAATTTCAACTCTTGAGAGGTAGATGGGTGGGTTGTCGACGTCACATTCTGGCCTTTATCTCAAAAAATGGTTTAAAAAAAAAAAAAAGGCTTTTTGTTCAATCCAGAATGCGACGTCTAGCTTTGATTACCCAAGCAAAAGGTAGAAAGGGAGGTGACATTGCATATAAGGCTCCGCTAACTTAGGTCCAGATTATATAATTATAAACCTCTTTGGAATATTTTCCTTGGAGGCAAACATTTACCAGAAGGTAAAATTATAAGCTACGTATCCCATGTCAGGATTCTCACTTTATTCTGATGAGGAGGAAGAAGGTCCTGGTTGTGGAGATGGACGAGGTGGAGGAGGGGACCCCAGTACCACCTCATATGGAGCATCTTAAAAAGATAGATGAAGATAGCCGTTTTCAAAGGTTTTTGAAGATTTCCAAAAGCCCAGTTCCTTGATCTGACTGAGGCTCATATGCCGCAGAAAGGCCACATACCCTGCATACTTCTTGGTGTCATGTGCCAGAAATTTCTTGCCAGGGTCTGCTTGACTCACTAACTGAGATAAATATTTTGTCATTTGACTAGGAGACAATTTCTTACCATCCTGTGATGAGAATACATAGGGGCCTCGATTAGGGAATCTGGTTAACCATTCTTGAAGATTCTTAACTGGGCACAATATATGAGGAACCCTTGTCTCATCCATTAGCCATTTTATCCTACTAGGTTGAGCTTGAAAATCCTCCCTTTCATTTTTTCTTAGAATATCCGCAGGAAAAAGGGTGACATCTTCCTCAGAAAATACCAATGATGATGGAAATTGAAATCCGCTCACTGCTTCTCATACCTGTTGCTATTGTTAGAAGGAAGCTTGCCTTCTGGAGCAATCTGTCCTTGTTCAGATTTATATTGAAATTAGGCCCCATAAGAAATTTAGTAACTTTATCTAGAGACCAAGGTGGGATTCTCTTTGGCCGAAGGGGTCTCTGAATGAAAAAGTACGATCTGAGCAATTGATAAATTCTTGTGTTCAAAGTAATATTAAAACCCCACGCCAGAGGGTCAACCAATGCTGATTTATAAGATGCAATTGTAGATCCTTGAAGGTCTAACTCTGAACAGAAAATCTAAAAATTCTAACACCACTGTTTCCAACAATGTGATTGGACTCTATGGCCTGCTATCACTTGGTTAACTGTATTGGAATTACCCAACAATCTATTTAACATCTTTTGAGAAACTCCAAGCGTGAAATGTCAAGGATATCTCGAACTGAGGGTGCAGTACCTGGTCTAGACATCCTTGTTGCAAATGTAGTGGATGCTGGCACCAGTTCAACAGATCCAGGCACCAAGGTTGTAGGATCCAATATGGTGCAATTAAGAGCACCTGTCCCTGGAAGGATTTGAGTTTATGAACCACTTTGGGCAACATTTTCACAGGTGGGAACAGATAGATTGAATTCCAACGGTTCCAATCTATGAGTAGAGCATTTCCTAAAAGATTCGGTCGTTCCAGAGATGCATAAGTTGGCATCTTGTGATTGTTTTGTGAGGCAAAGAGATCTATTTGTGGAGTCCCAAACCTCCTCAGTAGACTCTTGAACTTCGATATCTTTAGGGACCATTCTGTTTTCGTCGATAGTGGCCTGAGACGGGACGACGCATCTGCCCAATTGTTTTGTACTCCCGGTATGTGTGTTGCTTTGAGGTTAAGTGTTTGTGTTACACAAACTTTGAAAAAATTTTCTGACAGTGTGAGAAGGGGCCAAGATCTGGTTGACCCTTGATGTTGAGACAAAACACTGCCGCTCTGTTGTCCATGGCAAACAGAAATGTCATGTTTTTTAAATTTGGGTTTGCCAACAAAAAAATAGGACTACTGCTAATTTTTTTTTGTTTATGTGTTTGTCCCAAAGGGAGTTGCTCCACTTCCCTTGACGGAACTCGCCTTTTGAGGAATGGTATCCCCATCCTATCTTGAATGCGTCCATACAAACGACCAAGTCTGTTTGAGGGGGAACCCAGGGAGATGAACCAATTAGATTGTCCAAATTTGTCCACCATGACAGATGAATCTTATCTGAATAAGGAGAGAGGAAGCAATATTTTTGTTTTTGTGAAGCAACTTCGACCCCAGATGAGTTAGTTGCTTCTTCCTTAACGTGCCCAAAGGTACTACTATGGTGGCAAAATCCAACATTCCTATCTGAGGGAATGAATGTTAAGTCTTTCAATATATTAGCCCAGACTTCATCTATTTCAGAGAACATTTTGGGGCAAATATCAGGCCAAGAAATTGTAGTATCACCTTCTAAATATAATGAATGATAACCCACAGTTGCTTGGCCTTCCCGTCTCTTTGTAAGTGCTGATAGATCAGGAAATTTAAAAACATTTTCATAAAATACCTTGAATAAGGAATCCACAGACTGATGTGGTTGAAAACAAAGAAGACTTAGATCTTACCAATGTTACCCAAGGCCTGTTTGGATCATCCTTACACTCAATGTTCTCCATCAGCTGCGTGGGAGTCGACAGCAGTCTGTTTCCACTCATAGTAACCAACACTTTTGCCCAGGGTGGAAGTGGTTGCCAAAATGGGGACAGGATGAAGTCAGTCTCAACAGGATCTTCCTGCTCTATTGACTGAACACTACTGTTAGAGCCAACTTCCTCATCCTGATCCTGGAATCCACTAAAATCAGACTGACTAGGTAGAGGTTCTTGCAACTTTCCTACTGCCTCATTATCTTCGATGTCCAATAACCTGCTTTTCTTAGCAGAAGCAGGTTGGTCTAACTCAGTGGTTCCCAACCTTTTTGTGCTTGCGACCCCTTTCTCAAAACCCCGAAACACACACGACCTCCCTGCCATCAGCCATTTCCGTTTTAAAAATTTTTC